TAGACCACCGGACAGACCTAGGATTAAATGGATTCCCCATGAGATTCCTATAAGGATTTTTGGGATCTTCCTTTCAGCTCAAGGGAAACCATCTTCTAATAATACTATGATCATGGACCAGGCTCTCTCGAAGCTGGAGCTGTGGAGAGATAAACATACTTCTATCTTTGGAATGACTCTTGCATTTAACAATGTGGTATTGGCCTCAATCTGGTATAAATCAGCTATATGGGTCATGGATAAATTGGCTATTAAGGCATTCCAACGTCAGCTCGTTGCCTTCCTATGACGCCGTAATCATGAATGTACTAATGTGATCAACAAAGTAGCTTGCCTATCCTTAATCCAACCCAAAGGTAAAGGGGGTCTTGGGATTATTGACCCCACCACCCAAGCTATGGCTCTCTCAATTCAGTGGATTAAGCGGTTACTCTTTAATCCTCAGACACCATGGAGTGAATTGGCAAAGGAACAAATCAGGAGACTAACTCCTCCTACTGATGAAGAGGTAGACCCTCTCATGTGGTTGGAAAATAGATCCTGGCCTCTCCCAAAGAAATCCTCCTCTTTAGACCAAGTTCCTCATCCCTCGGATCGTCAAGCAGCTAGGGCAGACCTAGTTAATGACTATTTCTGGATTGACCTATTAAAAGTCCGAAGAAAACTCCCTCTCCCAGATAAGGTTTTCCCGAAAAGATGGGATGAGGTTTGTCGACAGCCTCTATTTAACAATCCCTTGATCAGAGACTCTCTGGGCTATACCCTTGATTGTGCAGCTTCACCATGGAAAGAATGGATTAGGAAAGGAATCACTAGGATTAAGGACGTTTGGAGTAGTGCTGGTAAGGATTGGGTTAGCCCTCAGACTCTTCAGGAAAAACTTAGGTACTGTCACTTTCCGGTAGAAGCCCTAGAAAGGATTATTGACATCATTCCCTTATATTGGATTAGAATCCTCAAAGAAAGTTCATCTCTCTCCCCACAGGATTGGGTTTCCATTTTACCTCATACTGAAGTAGTGGGGAAAGTCCTGGAAATTAGTGAGACAGGGGAGGTTCATTTGTTGCTGTTTAATTTACAAAACGATGGTTTTCTATCACCAACGGCTCAGCAGCAGACAAGGTGGTTTGAACAGGATACCCTTTTTCGAGTCAGGGTGCTGTCAATGGAAGAAAAATTGATTGCCTATAAACCGGACACCCCGATCTTCCACCTCCCTTTTGATCCAATCTGCTGGTCTTGGTCATGACACTTTCCAGCAGGTTTCACTCATATCAGAATGCTTCACAATTTAACAGTTAAATCGACGTATAGGACGCTTAGACCCAAGGTGGGCCTTAGAGAAAGAGTTCAGAATCGGTGAATGAATCATCTCAGGATAGGCGTGGAAGAATTATGTTCTGTAAAATGGTTTGAACTGTTCAAAATCAAGGCTGCCAAAATCGCCTCGCTTCAATGACAAATTTCCCATCGCTGTCTCCCTACCAATGACTGGTTGATTGATCGAACTTCTTTAGAACAGAAAGGAAAAGCATACCCATGGTGCAAATTCTGTAAATTCATTTTTCCTTTCAAGCTTATACCAGAAACAATTGAACATATTTTTTTGCAATGCCCAGGTTCAGTGTGGTTATGGCGCTGGTGGTCGAGAATTTGAAATCAGATTGGAACAGCGCTTCCCTGGTCTTAGAACTGGAAAGCCTTACTAGTTGAGACCTGAAACCCGTCAGAAGTGGATAATTTCACTCGTAATTTTTTTAAAATTTCTCGAAGAGCTGTAATATGGGCATTGTGGGTTCGTAGGTGCACCTACGAAATGGAAGGAGTTCGGCTTGACGACCGGGAATTTACTGATTCTACCAAACATCAAATTCAAGTGGAAATCACAACTCGGTGGGAAGAGGTGAAGGAAAAGTTGGAATTTTTTTCTTTAGAATGTGACATTAAACAACACATCCCTAACCTTTAATCAAGACTAGCTTGGTGGGGATGAGGGAAGGAGGGTGGGGAGGGCGGAATGGGAAAAGAGACAGAGTATTGACTCGGGGAAGACCTGATGGATTTTTCGTCTTACCTTTCACGACTGGTGCGCCATTGACCCCAGTGTTCCAATGAGTCCACTTTCGAATTTTCCAGATCTCTTTCCCCTGCCTGGTATGCCATTAGTGCCTATCTCATGGTATGGGCAGGATGTGTCTTGAAGTTAAAAATAGTACTCATACTCTTTCTGTGCAAAGATGCTCTTCAGTCTTTGGGAGCAGCAGAAGAGATTTCCATTAATGTCAGTTAGGTAGATTGATGCAGTTCAGATGTGATGCTTAGCTGGGATCCCAGCATCTCTGGTCTGTTTTGTGCTCGTTCAGGGTTAAGTGCAACGTTTCAATTCAGATAAGGTGCATGACTAATATTTCAGCGTCTGATTTCCCTTAGTCCCCTGCACCAACAACCCTTATGAGGTCTCTTGTGCTTAAGGTTCACGCTTATCCGGCGCCATTTAGGGTGAAGAGGCACTGAGATTTGTGTCTGTCAGTTTCTACATGGTCAAGGGACGCTGGACCCGGTTTCCAGCAGTTTCACTACTGTCTATGTAAAGGGACGCTGGACCTGGTTTCCAGCAGGTGCAACTCCCCACCAATAGGAACGGAGCCATCTATCCATCTAGGGGAGTGGAGGAGGTGTCTGCTCTTACCAGCATCCCCTCTACTCCCCATCATAGATGTTTTTTTCAAAAAAAAAAAAAAAAAAAAAAAAAAAAAGTTGTAGCACGCCAGTTGGTTGGTGTGCACCGAGTATCGGAGCTCTGCAAATGCAGAAATCCCAGGGCCCCAAAGTCGGCGTTGGTGTTGACATCATCACTCGCTGGTCGTCAAGTTGTCTGGTTGCTTTCATGCTTTAGTTGTAGTGATAGGCTGTAGAGTAGGTAGGACGCCTGACGCCATTTAAGAGAGAGAGCTACATTGGGCTATGCTGTTGGTGTTGCCCGATTGGGCTTGGACATTGACTCACGATTCTTTTGTATCGATCTCAAATGGATGGTTACTCGGTTCCATTGTGCTATCTGCTCTTGCTTTGACTACTAGGACTTCAGTGTGATTTTGCAATCAGGATTTTTGTGCTTCGTCCACATTCATGTTCCTTGCATTTTGGTATCGGAGCTGGTTTGATTCGCCACTTACCTTGGTGCGCTGACGTTATACAAACTTGGTGCGTTGATGATGCTTCTTCGCAGTTGGTTCTTGTGACGTCAGGCCAACATTAGGCGCACGACCTGGGTAGAGAGGTGTGCGCTGGAAGGCTATACGGCATGGGTTGCCGTGGTTACAGCGGAATGTATGATCGGTGATGAGAGCATGCTGATGTGGCATTAAGCTGAGGTGGCACTGCATTGCGTTGTGGGTGGTACCGAAGCTATGACCGATCATCAAATGCACACTCAACTCAATTGGTGAGAAATCTGTGGTTGGGGGCAGCTATCTCCAGGTACGTTGTTCCCTTACCTTATCTACTCTCTCAATCTCTTCTTACCGCGAGGAAGTGAGTCCAACTTGAGAGTCCTCTCTTTTGGTGAGGTGTCGTGTGCACGCTACCTTGAGAGACGACAATCTTCCCGGAAGCATCTGGAAGGAGAAAGGGCGGTGCCTCTGAAGGGCCCTGGTCGAAGCACTGGGTCACGGTCACCATGCCAACCCAATGTGAGTAGGTCATGCATGCGATGGCTGCTTTCGTCCACATTCATGTTCCTTGCACAAATATGAAAGGGGAAAAAAAAGAAGATAATAATGAAAAGAAAAACCAAAGTCATTTTCTTTTTTTTTCCCTTTTTTTTTTTTCCCTTTTTGCTAGACACACACACTGATTGATTGATTGTGTGCGTGTGTGTGTGTGTGTGTGTGTGTTGTGTGTGTGTCAGTGTGTGTGTGTGTGTGTGTGTGTGTGTGTGTGTGTGTGTGTGTGTGTGTGTGTGTGTGTTGGGAGGACCCCCCCCTCCAATCAATCAATCAATCAATCAACCAACCAATCAACCAATCAATTAATCAATCAATCAATCAATCAATCAATCAAGCAATCAATATTTATTTTTTTATCTATTTTTTTTTTCACACACCAAACACAACCCCCCCAAAAATTATTTTTTTTAACTTTTGTTTGTTCAAGGGGGTAGGGTCGGGGTTCCGGAACCCCAATCCGCAACCCCGACCCCCAACCCCCAACCCCCTCTCCCCTCGGCAGCTGCGGCCCGCAGTCATGACCGCGGCCTCGCAGCTGTGGCCGGGCCGCGGCCGTGCCCGCTGTGACTGCGGCCACGGGTGTTTCATAGGTTACAAGACAGAAGCGGTCTGCAATAGAACCATCTTAGGTTCGTTGGTTACAGAAGCCCGCCCCTGAAGGACTGAGTGGGTAGGACTCTCGGTTGGTGGGGGTGCGGAGATCCAGAGAAGTAATGTATAGATAGACTTGTGGGAGACACAAGACCGATTACGTAGGTTAAAATGAGTTGAAGGGATAGATCGGAGTTAGAAAGGCAATAGTTATAGAAATAGGAGAGGAGTGACAGAGACCTAGCTAGGAGGTTGTCCGTTTGGTAGGAAGGAAAGGTGAAGCTTGCTATTGTTACGTAAAAGGAACAGGGAACAGGGGTTCCTCTCGGTCGTTCTTGGGCCGAGTTCGGACCGGCCCCGTAGGTCTGAGAAGTGGAAGTTAGGAGTACTTCAGGAATAGGTAGGAGCAGTAGACTGAAGTAGGAGGGGAGTTCGGTATGCACTTTGTCACCTTGGACACTATTGGGTACTTGAGACTCAGAAGCGAAACCGGCTGATGCTGCCGGGATAACTCCGGGTTGAATTGTGAGGCCCCCGGCGTCGTGCAAGTGAATGTTTTGAAATGAGGGACCTCCCTCTCGGTTTGTCTTGCAGCATTCACCCGTGTGGTGAGTACTCGCGACGGCGGCCTTTTGTCGAGAAAAGTCGCGAGGTGAGTACTGACTGACGGGTGGAACGGCGCCGATATGTTGGGGTTGGAAGGACTTGTAGTTGTTTCTCTCACGGCCGGGGAGGGTCCCAGCGCCTGGTGGCGCGCAATTTGGCGAGTCTCTGCGTGCGGTAGTTTCCATCAGAACAGCTTTGTCGGATCCCGACCGATTCAGCAGGTGGTCTGGATCTTGGCTGCCCGACGAACATTCTCCGATAGAACGCGCACGAGCGACATAGCACGCTCGCGCGTTTGGATCTAGTGCGCGTGAGGGACGCGCAGAGGGCGGGTGGGTGTGCCTCTGCAGTCACTTCTGACATGCCTGTGCCTGCGAAAAGGCTCTATGTATGCCTATGTGCGTGTGTGTGTGTGTGTGTGTGTGTGAGAGAGAGAGAGAGAGAGAGAGAGAGAGAGAGAGAGAGAGAGAGAGAGAGAGAAGACGGCAATTCCAAGGACTGGAAAGCACGTGTGAACAATCCGGCAGCTGAAGATCGATGACAGACATTGTTCGGCAGCGGACGAGGAGGTGAGTGAGGTGACATTTTTCGGGCGAGTTGGTCGCTGCCGTAGATCGGCTGATTGACTTCGTGAAAGTGTGGTGGGTGAATAGGCAAGAAGTGGGCTACTACTCCGTCTGAAAAAAAGAAAAAAAACGTGGGCTACTCCGGTGGTGCGCCAGCTGGATATTGCTCGTCTGGAAGCCGTGAGGTAGTGTGTTGTCGGCGTGTGGCCCGTTCGTGTGACAGCTGTTTGTGTGCCATCTGGATCACCCAATCTGGAGGGCTCTGTGGCGAGAGAGCGACACGTCTGCACGACGCTGAGTGCCACGTGGGACGTGGGCCTTGCGACCTCACAGAAGGATAACGTGTACGAGAAGCTTTGGGGCACGTGCTACCGGTAGGTAGCCGACCGTTGAGTGAAGAGCAGTAAACGGCGGTAGAGAGAGGAGAAGGAGAAGGTGGATCGAGAGTAGCGCCCGGAAAAAGAGACCTGCGGTTGGAAGGGAGGAAGCGGGTGGTTCAGACGATCGGTTCCCGACCCACTCCCCGTCGTATGTGGTAGCAGAGACACACACAGAGAGAGAGAGAGAGAGAGAGAGAGAGAGAGAGAGAGAGAGAGAGAGAGAGAGAGAGAGAGAGAGAGAGAGAGAGAGAGAATCGGGGTGTATTTCAACGCATGAATGTGGATAGGATTGGAAGGGGAGCGAAGCGGGAAGAGCTATTAACTATGAAAAGGCTACCATGGAGGTGCGATACCGGGGTAGAGAGAAGACCGGGTGGTGGTGTTGCTTCCCCTTTGCAGTCTACTTCTCCTTCTCCTCCTCCTCCTGCTCCTGCTCCTGTGTGTGCTCTAGCGTGCGCCTCATCTTCGGTACAGATCGATCACTGCAGCTTTCTTTCTGAAAAAATGAGACGTCAACATGACCATCGCGACCGTAGATGGTTTTCGTCCGAAGCTGCAGGAGCAACAGCAGCAGCGGGCGATTGGCCCTGGTTACCGTCGTGGACGGTCTTGGTGGCAGTGTTATGGGTGCTTGCGCTGCAGGCGCTGGTGCCTAGTGTGGTGGGGACCGCATGTTCTCCCGCCGCGGATCAGGGATGCATCTCCTTTGCGGTGTACAGAATGAAGAGGGATGAATCGCTTCTGGAAGTGGCGGAGCGATACCGAGAGAGCGTGACGGGCGTCTTGCTGGTGAACGGATTGACCGAGACGGCGACGACAAAAGAAGGTGAAGAAGTATACATACCTCTACGGTGCGCTTGTGACCAATCGCAGGGCATTTTCCGGGCAAAGCCCACGTATACGATCAATAAAGGGGACACACTAAGCTTCATAGCGCAGCAGAAATACCAGTACATGACGACAATCGCCACCATTGCAGAGGCAAGTTCGGTGAAAAACGTGGATTTCATCTTGGCGGGAGCGACGCTGACTATCCCGATACCATGCGCGTGTAATCGAACCAGCATTCCGCCGTTCGCATACACCTCATTCCTGACCTATGTGCCGCGGCAAGGCGACAATGACGTCCTCCTCGCCGGCAAATATAACAGCAGCAAGGAAGCCATGCGAACTGCCAACGATGCCGCCCAAGAGGTCAATATTGAATCGAACAAGCCGATCGTTATCCCGAGCAGTAAGTAGCTCCCACTCGTCCCTCCGATGTCTTCCTTCTTTCTCTTACTCCCTCTTCTACTCTCATTCTCTGCTGCTCTAGTCGCTAGAAACAACTCCTGTAACTGTACACATGGTTGTGCCACGCAGTGTACTCGGATGTTCGCCGACCTTTTGTCTGTGTATCTGTTTGTGTGTGTGTTTGTGTGTGTGTTTGTGTGTGTGTGTGTGTGTGTGTGTGTGTGTGTGTGAGNGAGAGAGAGAGAGAGAGAGAGAGAGAGAGAGAGAGAGAGAGAGAGAGAGAGAGAGAGAGAGAGAGAGAGAGAGAGAGAGAGTTGTTTGAAAGAATTTGCAACAGGTTAAGGGAATAGGATGCCGGTGAGTTGCAGACCTTCCATGGGGTCTTTAATTCTGTGTGCCATACTGTTTTTGTTTTTTCCGCGCGGTCTTTTCCTTCCCCTCTCATCGCGCCCCTCTCCTTCGGGTTTGCTGCACGATCCCATAGCCGGCAAGGAGGCGAAGACAAATAGAACCCCTTCAACCCATTGTTCAGCTGTGTTGACGAGCATTTTGCGGGAAACACGTTCTTTTCCTGGGCGATAGATTCTCCCAGTTTTGTCTTGTTGTGTTGTGTTTCGTTTTGGTAGTTTTGTTGTGTTGTGTTGTGTTTCGTGTGGTAAGCGACATGCATTGTCAGCGGGCCGCTTTGTGCTTTTGTCGGCTGCCAAGCAAAGTGAAGACAGGAGGAGAGAAGCTTAGGGGGAGAGCAAGAGGAGGGAAGTGTGAAAGGCCAGGCTGTTAGGCCGTACCTCTGTTTGAATTCTGTGCATCTTCGTTCGCCCTGCGAGCTGTCAATCTTCAGATGACGACGTCGGCCAGAGAGCGATAAGGCGCAGATCTCAACGCCCGTTACGTTTGTCTCCGTCACCGTGCCGACGCCCGTTCGTTTACCCCATCTCTCCTCTTTGACAATTGGCATCGTCTGCAGCGACCTGAAAATCCGCACCAGCTGGTAGCCTCCGCCCACCGTTTACTCACGCCTGATGCGTAACTGCGCAGATTGTAGGTTCATGCCACGTGACCCGCATCAGCGAGGAAGTCGGACGAGTAGCTTTTTTTTTTTTTTTCTCTTTTTACTTTTTTTTTGTTTTCTTTAATTGCTTTGAACACAAAGTAACAAAATTTTTGGGACCACATTTCTCGATTTATGCGTGTGTCATATATTGCTGCGCCCCCTGCTATTTCTCCTTCAGCTTTCTACCTTTGACGTTCCTGGCCGCAATTTCGCCGTTTTTTAACCGAAATCGCCAGGGATCACCGGTTTCCCGCCAGCAGGTCACGATGATTTCGGTTCAGAAAACGCCGAAATTGCGGTCAGGAACGTCAAAGTTACTGTGAACTCTCAGAAGGGTAAATGCTCAATACCGGGTTGTTCACCGCGCAGTTTTACCTTGGATGTTCGCTCGGGTGTTTACTTCACTACGGTTGTTGGCCGGCCATTTGTTATTTTATTTATTCTGTTTTTTTTTTGTTTTTGTTTTCCAAACAAAGAACTTCAGTTTTCATGATAACATAAACGGAGACCGGGCCCTCACAATCATCCTTATGTATGAAATGATCTGTATTTTGATGAAGAAAGACAAGAAAAACAAACATCCCTACGGGAAAAAGTTCTGTGAGCGCCATCCAGCTTGGCTTACAGGGGTAAACCCTGGAACGGCCGACGTCCAGTAGGGGGGTTTCGTATTTGACCGGACGCCGACCGGTCATTTACGTGCTCTCCGCCGGTTGGGTAATTACTGGTTGTCTGTACTCTGTTTGGCTTTTCGCACTACAATAGGCTGTAAAAACTAATCGACTGTTCGTTTGGCTATAATTGCGGAAATGTAATTTCTAGGGAAATCTCGCCGATCGCGGAGTTTTCGGTGACGGTTTTGTACGTGTTTGCCGGTCAGAATGTGCCTTGACATGTACGCGCCTCGGAACGGATCATGCGCACCTGGACCTCTGCACTTCCAGGTGCACTCTGTTTAGGGGACTTGCAGTCGCGGGCTAACTGCAATCAATCAGGCCAATTTGCCTCGAGTCTCGTTCCGGCAGATTTGTAGGTTCTATCAGTGCGCACATCAATCCTTGAGTGAATGGTAATTCGTCACTGGATTAATGATGGTGGTAAATAATCGATGATTCGATGGGATGGTCGGCATGAGAAGCTTCTGAGCGTCGAAAAAATGAGCAAATGAAAAACCGCTAAGCAACGGGGGAAAAAAACGTGCCGAAACAAAAAGTGGATGAGCAACAGCATTAAAGAAGTGCCGAACAAAAGCAAAGTATAGCTGAGCAGCGGAAAAAAGACCTTCCAATACCTTTCTCGGCCTTTCGGCTAAAATCAAGTGTACTATCTGTACTCATCAGTGTAATATCTGATCCGTGGCCTATCGGGTTATTTAAAAAAAAAAAAAAAAAAAAAAAAAAAAAAAAAAAACCGTCCGAAATGAGTAGCGCTCGAAATAAGTGATCAACGTCTGAAACGATTAATGATCATTAATCGTATATCTAGTTCGCAACGCGAACCAATCGTCCTTATCGTTGTAAAATTCGCGCACCTGCTTTTGCTCATGTAAAAGGGCTGGCTTGCTTGCTTTGATGTAGAAATATCACATGCTCGCAGATGTGGTTACGATCACCAGGTGATCATCACGCCGATCACCCCCTGTGGACCACGTGCCATGACGATCACGTGCCATGACGATCACCGAGGTTAATCCCTGAGGCAGAGCAAGGTGTGCCGACTTTTTGAGCTACCGACCTTCCCCCAACACAACAGCCCCTCATCATGCCTGCACAGCATGCAGGGTGCGGTATGTGCGGTGGAAGTCGGTAATTAGAGAAGTTATGCTGGACGCATGTGCTGCTGGCAGGACTGATTACAAGCGCGAGTGGGTTCCCGGCGAGACCTACCACGGGTAGCCCATTCATGACTCGGTCGCGGACCGCTAACTAGTGAAAAAGTCGCGAGGGCTCACGAGATTGGAAACTTCGCCAAACTTCGTTTTTGCCTCCATGCCTGCACCACGCGCGAGGGCTCACAAAGTCGAAAACTTCGTTGTTGCCTTCTCCGAAAACTTCGTTTTTGCCTCCTCCATGCCTGCACCACGCGTGAGGGCTCATTAAGTCGAAAACTTCGTTTTTGCCTCCTCCACCGCACCGGGCAGGCAACTGGGAAAACGAAAATGCCACAAACACAAAACAGACGAACACAAGCAAAAGAAAAGGACGGACATGACCACACTCGTGAATTCGGGCCAATCCGAGCGGGCGCACCAAAGCACCTTCCAAATTCGCGAGTGTGCAGGCGTGGGCGAAGTAAAAACGTTCACGACCGTGAGAACACCAGCGCCCTGACACCTCACGAATGCTGGTGGGTGCCAGGGTAGCAAGGCTGCAGTGTGGTGGTGCCCACAAGACACAAAATGCTTGTGCGAACTCGCCTGAGGGTAGTGCGGCGAGGTCCCACACGTGAATTTCGGCGAATCCCAACGGGCTCACCAAAGCACCTTCCAAATTCGCAAGAGTGCAGGCCTGGGGGAAGAAAATACCCTCACGAGTGTGCGAACACCAGCGCCCTGACACCTCACCAATGCTCGTGGGTGGCCGGGTTGTGAGGCTGCAGTGTGGAAGTGCCCACAGGACACGTGATGCTCGTGAGAACTCGTCTGGAGGGTAGTGGGGCGAGGTCCCCGTGCAATCTTTTTTTTTTTATAGGGATAATTTGCAAAATATGCAACGAACCTCTCAGTTCACCACCGATGAGCGCACACAATCACACAACATGCATGAATGAGATCACACGAAATTCACACTGCAGGCCAGAGAGATGAAGACCAGGTAGCGCAGCTTTAGAATCCCAACAAATTATCATATAAGCAATTAAGAGTTCCAGTCACAAGTGCTCAACAGCACAAACCCAAGTATCCATTATGTCCACTCAGGTATGTAACTCTTCCGAAGCTCTTCTCTCTTCTCTCTTGGTCCTCTCTCTTTCTACTACCTCTCTGTGTCTTCTCTCCCTACTTGCATGCACTCACACACCTTCTACTAAAGGACCAACTCTGAATACACCCACTGCTAACTCTACTAACCCCTCCGAAGTCTACTACTAACTACTAGCACTGGCGCAGCTATGGCTGCCTTCCCTCTGCCAGCGCTGGGCAGCTATCACTGCTCCCTCTCTCTCTCTCTACTAGGGCAGCTCTCTGGCTCAGCGCTCCGCCCCTCACAATAGCGCACAAGTGCACCAGCACTTCCACACTTCATGCGAATGAGCAATCTGCCAAATGAGGAGGCTGCCAGTCCTTATATTGTTTTGGACCGAGCTTCAGCTCGTGCCAGCCTCTGCTTCTTGGGGCTTGACTTGGTTCCGGTACCACATCCCCATGGCCTGTCTGCTTTTGAATGTTGGGCCTTTGAGTCACGACTTTTCGATTATGACACATGGTTTTAACTGTGGACTGTGACTCTTGCCTCTGGGACACGACTCTTGCCTGTGGAGGTGTCCTTTGCCCGTGGGATGTGACTTTTCAATATGACTTTTTATTATGAGACGTGATTTTACTCCTGAGATATGACTGTTTGCCGGGTGCCTGTTGGACTTGACTACTAGCCTACTAAGGTACCCGACTGTGACTTTTCTGAAACTGACTGACTCGGCCTTTCTTGGGCAGGGCCTCTGACCCTGAAACTCGAATTTGGGGTCTGAATCGTGGAAGGCCTTTCACTCTCGCCAGCCTAATTTCGAGGTCCTCCGAGAAAATTACCAATTTTATCTGTCTATTATGTTAACTCCTCTCTTAGCTCTCTCATAATAGGACACAATATGCGGTGCTGTTTCCATTAGTTCATCTCTTGTAAACCGGCGATCTTCTGATAGGCAAATCTGACCTTATATTGTCGCTGTGGTCTACCCCTGCACCCAGATCTGTAAACATCTTCCCCAACAATCTTTTCCACATCATACTTACC